CTTTGAGAAGTTTCCTCTCATTGTTTGCCAGGAACCTGCAGACACGTCAACTTTTGTAAATAAAAAAAAACACGTAAAAAAGTTACAGAGTGGGTAGGTGAGAAGTTCACTCAGTCCGTGTCTTTTGGTAAAGCTCCATATAAGCATGACACCTGCAGCATCAGCACCACAACCCAAGTATCAACATCACATAAACTACAAAATTCAAAGTCCAACTTTCATACCTTTTTATTGGGTTTTGCTCACTCAAAACGGATCCATCTGCCCATGGAAGCAGTCGACAGCCCAGCCCTCCCGACAGTCTCTCATTGTTTCGTCATTCAACCCATCCATCGGGGTGTTGGTCATATCGAACTCAATAAATTTTAGGGCATATGCCCCACATTCAGTACTACAATAGGAAGAAGACATTAGCATTAGAATAAACTTATAGAACAATTGTATTATGTAAGCTAGTTTTATACAAAAGTTACCTTGACTCATTTATTGGGCCGATAAAGCGCTTAATTGGCCACTTTCCGATTAGTACTTGATCACCCAAGTGCCCAAACATCCCACTGTCACTCAACAGCCGCGGGACTAACCTGGACAGTGGCTCCAACTCGACCTCCAACTGCTTGTCTCGACCAATAGTGGGGTTGCAGTCAAGGATCTTCAACAGCCCCTCCTCTAGATGCACAACGACTGCTATCCAATGCATCTGTTTGACGATGATGATGCAGTACACTCTTTTAACAGAGGTCCAACCGTGGCCATATTTGGGCTGATCCCCCCGTATATACTGCATAATTATGTCATCAAAATGAAAATCATCAAGGATGCAGTCCAACTGTACTGGGGCCAATCTTTTTCGCTTCGGTCTTTTTGTTGCACCACTAGCAACAACATTTTTAATTAAAGTGCGATATGCCGAAACAAGCATTTGGCCAAACGCCACATTGGTGATGGCACAGTTGGGATACAACAGATCACCATCAATAGTCTGTCGTAGCCTCATCAGTGCTAATATCTCATCGATGTGCTGCATCAAATAAAAACAAGAAGATAAGTATGGAAAACATAGGCAAAAATAAGGAAAATTAAGCAAAAATAACTCACCGAGTCCTCAAGCCACGTGCCCATCGTCAACAACTTCTCAAACCATTCCCGAGGATAATCCCCTATCTTACACTTTATATGGCCATTATTTTCTGATCCATTGTAATAGGCATAGAAGAGCTTTTTCTTTTCCTCTATTGACCTATACAAATCGACATTTTAGTCCAATTTCCCTTGCCCACTCCTCCCCTTTCCTCCATTTTTACATCCCCGCATCCTTCGCCTCCCACCTCGCCCTCCTCCATTATCACCGCCCCACTTCCTCCACCAACCTTCTCAACCTCCTCCATTTCTGGTTCTTCCTCTATTTGTTTATTAATTTTCTTCTTCTTTACCTGTGTCACTACCATGTAAGGCGATTTCACAAACTTGCTTTTTCGGCTCTCTCTTTTCAAGCCAGTTTGCACTTCAACCGCCTTTAATTCTCCACCAACTTCCTCCTCCATTTTACCAACTTCTTCCTCCATTGTACCTACTTTCTCTCCCAGCTTATCCACTTTCTCCTCCACCCTTTCCATGCACTCTTCCATCTTGTCAAACCTTGCATAAACGGTTGTTGTAAAACTCTCAAATAGGCCGTTTATGAGGTCAATAACCTCATTCTCCCGACACCGATGTCTTGACAAAGCGGTACTTGTTGTACTGGTTTGCTGAGGCATACGAACCTCTTCCTCCCTCTTCTCCTCCTCATCCTCGTGCCTCCCGCCCATTGGAGCTTCATAATCCTTGGCATCAATGACGTTGTCAAGCAATGGCCCTGCAACTGCCGTCACATGCGTGACCCCTTTTAGGTCCCGCATCAGGCAGTCTATTTATTCATCCCTTACATCCTCCATTGCTTTGAAAGATGTGACATAGTCCTCTTCCGCTTCATCCCCAGTAACGGTGAGAAAAGGACGGACGACTCCCTGCAATAAGAAACAAAATCAATCAGATTGAAGCAAAATCAAAAAGCAACTGCATATTCAAAAGCTTAATCCTTTAGTCTTACCCCAGCCGCTTGAATCTCAATCTCTATTTGGCCGTAATCCGAATGGTTACACTTCCCGACATGCCACCGCAACATCCTAGGAAATTGCTGTTGCACATCCAAACTATTGCTCCTCCCCTCCGCCTTAGCGAAGACAGGGATGGCCTCGTACATCCAAGCCTACATTGTAAAAAAACAGTCCATATCATAATTCAAACACATATATTATAAAAAATATAACAGAGAGCTATTAATATTTACCTGCATTGCCCATGGGAAGCCAAACAAATTATACGTTTTTTGTTTAGCCTTTCCGCCTTATTTGGCATGCTTTAACGCCATGTCTGGTTTTTTCAGGCTCTTGATGGTTCGCTCAAATGATATCCGTCCCCACGGATAAGAATTAAAGAACTCAAAGTCGCTTGCAAACAACAACCAATCTTTCTCAACAGCTTTTGTTGACTCACCAGCAAATAAGATAGAATGTAAAAACAATAGCAAGCACACTTTTATCTTCTCTCCATCATTAAACCGAACTGTTTCTAGCCTCTCCTCTAAAACGTGTCCTGTAATAGACTTTGCCCCCTGCAAAACCTTCTTACGACCTTGTGGTTCCCGGACTCGTCCTTATTGCGTCTGCCTCTGCCTTATTTGGCACTTCCCCGTATCCTAAGCCCGTCACCAGGGCATACTCCATCATACCAAACTGTAGTGGCTTTCCGTCCACCACGAACCACATTTCATTTTTTTTGTTGCATTTTACTGAGTGCAGCAACATGTAATGTACTCCTTACCCCTAAAATGCCTTTTTCCAATTTGTTCCGATTCTTAAAAACTGACCGAAACAAGTGCGACCGAAATCTCTTTCACCACGCGTCATTCCACCTAAAATGTCCCTTATTCTGTCAAAAACATCCCAACTCGACCTCACCATCACCCTTGTAGGGAAGTAGGGTACCTTCTCACTTATAGACTCCAACTCGTAGTCACTACAGTTTACGGTCTGCACAATCTGCACAATCTGCACAATCGATATAAACAAAATGTCAGCAACAAAAATAAACCAAAACAACTAATAAACAAAATATCAGCAACAAAAAATTACCACTGTAGTCGCTTAAGATTTCGGATCGCTTAAGAGATCTTGACTTTACCTCGTGCAAGATCGCTTAAGCGATAACTGAGAATCTCTTAAGCGATACAAAAGATCGCTTATTATATCTGTGATTTTGCCTCGACAAGATCACTTAAGCAATTTGAAATCACTTAAGCGACCAAGAGTAAACACTCATGATTGCTTAAGCGATCATGAGTAAAACAGATTAATGATCGCTTAAGCGACAATACAAGCAATATTCCCAAACAACATACCCTTTCTTCGTCGGCCTCCTCCTCGTCGCCTGAATCCTCGGACGACTCCTCCTAGCCTGAATTCTCGCCTAACTCCTCGTCTTCATAACCGTTTGCCGGTTCTTCCCTCTGTTCTTGTGCCGTCGGCATCTCCTCTGCGTGTGGACCACCTTCACTGATCGGATGATCCACCGGAGCAGCCATTGAACTGCTTGTGCCATCGGAGTCTAGGATTCGAAGTGGCGTTGGGTTTTCCTCCTCATTCAGCCATGGTTTTGGATTGAATTTGGTGTCAAAGTTTGCAGTTTCGATCAGAAATGTGGACTGTATCGCTGGAAATCGCATGGATTTCGTTTAGGGTTAAGGAAATCGATTTTAGGGTTCAACAAATCGATCGGAAATCGCGACTATATCGTCAGAAATCGCGACTGTATTCGGTTTAGGGTTCAAGAAATTGATTTAGGGTGCAAATTTGCAGGTGTTCGATCAGAAAAAATCGCGTCTCCCTTTAGTTCAAGATATCGCTTTTTCCCCTAATGAATTTCAATTAAGCGAGGTGAATAGTGGGGCTTGTTTTGAGAACTTTCAAATGTTAAAAAACTTTCATTATTTCTGATTCAATCCACATATATTTTAACATTTTTATTTTAACCTATTTTACTTGTTTAATTAATCCTAAGTATGCCATCTCATTTTCTCTAAATTAAAAAAAAAAAAAAAAAAAATAACTTTCAAGGCCATTTTCTTAAATCGGGATGACTGGCCAGCTAAGGGTGCGTTTGGTTTAGTATTTTGGATAGGATTTTAAGGGTAGTATTGGGTTATTGGATATGGGAGTATTACGAGGTAAATTTTAAAAATTTATAAAAAAGCCCTTAGGTTTACTAATTTAACTAAAGACCCTAACATGTAAAATGACAAAAACACCCCCACCACTGCAGTGTCAGATTCCGGCCACCACCGCCGGAATCTGACCGGAAAATTTCGTTACGGCACAGACTTGTCGGATCTGTGCCGTAACACATCGTTATGGCCTTTTCCGGCTAGATCCATGGTAGATCTGGCCGGAAAAGGCCAGATCTATGGTTTGTTTTGGCCGTCGACGGCCGGAAAAGGCCAAACGACGGCCATCTTTGGCCGTCAGCGACGGCCAAAGATGTGGCCGTCGTTTTCGATCGACGACGGCCAAGATTTGGCCGTCGTTGACCGTCAACGACGGCCATTTCTTTGGCCGTCGCTGACGGCCAGATCTGGCCTTTTCCGGCCAGATCCGTTGTGGATCTGGTCGGAAAAGGCCACAGCGGTGAACTTCCGGCCATTTCTGGTCGGAAGTTTGGCCGTTGTACAGATTCCGGCTATCACCGACGGTGGTTGCCGGAATCTGACAAGTTGGGTTGATGGGGGTGTTTTTGTTAATTTTAAACTTTTTTTTCAGGGGGTATTTAGTGAAATTAATAACCTTATGGGGTTAAAATGTAATTAAAAAAAATAGGGTAATATTTTGAGAATATTGTACCAAACGCGATTTGAAAAATAGGATCCAGAATAGGGATAAAAATATTAAACCAAACGCATACTAAATTTTCTCAAAAAACTCCGATACAAAAAAATGCATCCATTTGGGTACAGAGCCAACGCTCTGTAAACTTTCGCCGTCACCATTGTCCCTTAATGTGCGCCATATCTTCTCTTGCTGACAACCTTAACGCTTCTACTCTGACTGCTGAAATCCAGGTCAATTTTACGAGTGTCTTTTATCCGATTTGTTGCATTTTTTTTAGATCCGTCTCTGGTTCGTGTTAGAATTAAGAGAACTCAGTTGTGTTTTTGTGATTTTGACTGATTTTTGTTTCTGGGTTTGTGTTTTTTGTGACTGTAGGTATTGAATATTAATTGTTTTCAGAAGTAGACGCACGGAAACGATGAGGTAATTTTTCAATTCTTGTGATTTTTAGTATTAGTTGTTTTCTTTGATGGGTTGCTGTTAGATTTTTGAAAGTTTTGATTTTTTTTTTTTTAAACCTTTTGGGTTCTAGGTATTTGAACATTAGTTTTTATTTTTATTTTATTTTTGAATGCTTAATGTCTGAATTTTATTATTTTGAAGGTAACTGAGATGTTTATTTAGAGTGGAAATTCAAGGGTTTAAAGCTGATAATTTTACATACCTGTTTGTGATTAAAGCGTGCGGCGGTTACTGATCTCTGGACCTGAATATATATTCTGAGATTCCTTGAATTATATTCCCTATAACTTATACTGTAAAATTTTTCTTGGAATTTTTAACTTCACTTTCATTCCTCATGATTTCTAAACATAAAATTATAAGCAGGGGCTCAGTGTAAGCACAGCAGTATTTGATGGAGCGAAGCATCTGATTGCATTTGGTGGCTACAACGGGAAATATAATAATGAGTTATGTTGTATTATATAACTATTTGTATCTGTGCTTTTTCAGAGGCAATAGTTTTTTTCTATATTTCTTTTTCTTTTGTATGACATAGGATTATTCTGAAAGCCTTTAGTCGTTTCTATTTTTTGTCAAGTTGTACCATATGTTTCTAGCTTAAAGCTAAGCTCAAGTTCATGAAGATGTATGTGCTGAATTGTTGTGTTATGGTTAATTTTTTTTTCCCTTTATGATTATTGTTGATCTAATAATTTCAGTTAGTCTGTGAATGTAGTATCTTCACTGTTTGTTATGGTAGTTCTATGTATCTTAATCATTTTGGGGATTTGGGTGGATTAGTATTTATGAACGCATAATTAGGCTCATGATGCATCACATTTGTTTTTTTTTTTTCAATCTGTACACAGGATACTCATCTTCTACTGACTGGGGGAGTGGAGAAAATCCTTCGTATTCTTGATTTGAATCGTCCAGATGCACCCCCAAGAGAAGTGGATAGATCTCCTGGTTCAGTCAGAACTGTTGCATGGCTCCATAGTGATCAAATAATGTTAAGCTCTTGCTCTGACATGGGCGGTGTCAGGTATGCCTGTTTCTCCTGCATCATACGTATGTTGTTACATGGAAACTAAATTTGGTTGATATCTTGGTTTTTTTTGTTTTGATTCCTTTCAATAACCATAATGTGATAGTTTATCATGAAATTTCTGGGTGCTCTTCTAAGTATAAAATAATGCAGGCTGTAGATAGAATAAGCTAAAGACATGGGTCCAATTACCAAGCTGCATTGCATTTGCAGATGTTTGGGGATCAAATCTTAGAAAATGAGGTTAAAATTTGAGGTCGTAGGGATTTTAGTATTCTTTTGGCTCAAGGAAAGAGAGATTTAAAAAAAAATGTTAATTGCTTCATATATTCTCCTGATGTTTGATTACTTGCTGTTACTTGATAGAAAAATTGTTGGGCTAGCTATTCAATTATATTAGATTATAATATTTTATGCATGTTTTCTCCTAAAGTTGAAGTTGAAAATAGTTCTTGGGCTGGATGGGATTTTCTATTTTTTCTAATCATTACTAAAATTATTAGTGGTTGTTTATGGGATGTAAAAAGTGGTAAGATAGTCCAAACACTCGAGACCAAGTCATCTGTGACCAGTGCTGAAGTGAGTCAAGATGGTCGTTATATCACAACTGCTGATGGGTCAATAGTTAAGTTCTGGTATGCAAACCAGTAAGTTTTACGCCTTGGCCAAATCTGAATCTTGAACTCTGATGAAATGGGAACTATCTCTCTGAACAAGATGTTACAGTTGATATTGAGGCAATCAAAGAAGAGAAAAGAGTTTTGGAATTGTCTCTAGCAGAAGCCAGAGACAAAAATTCTAGGCTCAGAGATAAGGTCGATGAAGTTAACAGTACTCATGGTGAATTATCCAAGGTCTGCTCTTGATGACACAATTACTTTTTGTTCACTAAGTAGATGAATATTCTTAGTAATGTTTTGAGTGTTTATCATCTAAAATATTCATCATCCACTCCGCTGTTTGCTTGCAGGAACTCCAATCTGTCCAAGGTCAACTGGTAACCGAGAGATCAAGAATCTTTAAATTGGAGGTACACCCTTCAAATTTTATAACTTATTGAAAAATCACTGTTCATTGCCTTTTTTATACCAATTGCTTCCACAACTAGGCACCAATCTTTATAGTTTGAACTTCATACAAGGCCTAATTGTTCAAATACTGATATGATATTAATGACCAATTGAGATTGTAGAAGTCTAATTCTTTGGTTTTTCATCGCAGCCAAAGTGGAATGATGCACTTCTTGAGATGTTTAGAATCAATTACATCGGTACTTCTCCATACATCACCTGTTTGCCTTCGCTCTATCATCATCAAGTCAGCCCAAGGGACAAGTTCTTGATATTGTCTTCAGATGGACTCTATCAATACTTCATCTATGAAGAAGCTGTATCCAAAGTTGAGTCATTCATTGCTGCATTTGGAGATCCTGCACAACATCTCATAAAGCTGGTAAGAATCTGAACTAAATGAGAAAATAAAACAAAACAAACTGATCATACATTGTGAGACAAAGTCAATCTAATGAACTTGGTTTTGTTAACAATGCAGGTATTGACTTCCATGAGTTGCTTGATATACCACAAGTAAGAATGGTCTCATTCTGAATGACCAATATCTGATTTTTTGGCAGAAAGATGTGGTTCGTTCTGAACCATGAAAAGGTTAGAAATGTGTTGATGACACAAAATAGTTAGACCAAGGTGCTAGAAATGATTATAGTAGCAATTTTTGCTATGGTGGTTTTGGCTCTTATTATGTTGCCGGTTATTGTAAAGTTTTATATGTTTACATATGCGGCAAGTTCATGTAACACTTACACCAAAACCTTCTTTGGGGTTGATGGAGCTGGAAAGCGATTAGCACATGGAGTGAGTCTTGATATGTGTTCCATTTATATGTATATGACCTGCATCTTTATAGGGAATTACATGTGTATCAAAATTGATGATTTTTCTTCCTTAATAATCTGGGAACAGGGCAAACACCATCACACTGAGCAGATTTAGAATTTTTAATCTGTTTACTGTGTGAAATTGATAGATTTTATGTGGATGGTAGTTAAAGATGATGCCAATCAATTTTGAAATGACAATGTGATCATTTAATGATTACTTTTTGTTTTAATCGTTGAAGTATGATGAATGCAAGCTGAACGTTGTCTTTGGTTTCAGGGTAAGCATCTGAGAACAAACAGTTGTGCCAGGCTGCCAGCCTGAGAGTTGGCTATAAATGAATAGAGCTGATGGAGTCTGTGCTTCCTTCTTTCCCTTATATATTTATATACATATAATTTCTTGATGGATAGTCGTTTAGGTTAGATTTATACAAGTTATTGAAATTCTGATCTCTTATTGATGCTCACTTAATTTTTTAAATATACAGTAACAACAACGTTTATTCGAGCCTCGTAATAAATTTTGTAACCCATTGGTTTATATATAATTTGCTTTTTCTGATCAATTATATTGCGCTAGAATGGATGCTGGAGCTGTTATTTCTTACCCAAATCCACTAAAATGAAATTCTATTATTCATACTGTATGAATGGAAGGATTTAATTTTGCTTTCATGTAAGGATAGCAATTTTATGGGACCAACAAATTAATCATTATAATAGAATGTAAACTCTATATTTAAATGTGATTTATACCTTACATTAGAGACATAATCAGCTTGATAGTTATTCTATTCTCATGTATAATGTAATTATATTTTTAATTAAGGAGTGTTATATTATATAAATAAATCTAGAATAGTTTTAGAAATTAATTATTTGCTAAACATTAGTCTACATAAAGTCGCGTACACCTTAATTTAATAAATAAGAGAGCAATTTTACATGCTGATAATTCTTGATAATACAGCCGCTAAAGTAGTGCAGAGTATTCCCAACAACAAAAAGAATTGCCTTCTCCAATAACGGAATTGTAATTGTCACGTTGGATGTGTGGGTGAGATTGAATGCATAACTATAAACTTTAAAATTTATATTATTTAATAATTATTATGTTCAAATCTAATTAGTTTCTCTTTTTACAATCTATTTCAAAAACATTGAATAAACATACTCGCGCAACACGCAGACGTAATCCAATTATTTAACAAATATCATGAAAAGAGTTATGTGATCAAGTTGGATGAATGGTTTATTATAACAAATAAGTAAATTATTTGTATATCAAATTAACATGAAGGTATAACATACCAAATTTAATTGTCACATAATATTAATGACTATTTATTGTAAGTAAATTTCAAACATGCTAATAATTGATCATTCACTGACAATTTTTTCGGTAATTGCTCAAAGAATGTACTGACTGTCAATTAATAGTGTAAAGTATTAATTGACAGTTAGTAGTAAATTAATACTACTGATTGATGAGCAGTTTGAATATTTGAAAACTGGACAGATAAGACTTTAATTTGATATATTATATGCTTAATTTGGATAATTGTAGCCCCACTACAGAACCATTCTTTTTATCATCACACACATTTCGGTTTCCATTGAATAGTCAGTAGTAAATTTATCATAACTTGCTCAATAAACATCCAATTGATGAGAGGTTTGAATCTTTAAAAACTAGATAGATGGGCTTTAAATTGATATATTATACACTTAATTTGGATAACTGTAGCCCCACTACCGAACCATTTCTTTTATTATCACACACATTTCGGTTTCCCCTGTTTGTCGATTTCTATTGAATCATCAGTGGTAAATTAGCCATAACTTGCTCAACAAAAATCCAATTGATGAGCGGTTTGAATCTTTGAAAACTAGATAGATAGGGATTTAATTTGATATATTATATGCTTAATTTGGATAACTGTAGCCCCAGTGCCGAAGCATTCTTTTTATCATCACACACATTTCGGTTTCCATTGAACAGTTAGTAGTAAATTGACCGTAATTTTCTCCATAAAAATTGAATTGATGAGAGTTTTGAATATTTAGAAACTAGACATATAGGGCTTTAATTTGATATATTATACGCTTAATTTAGATAACCGTAGCCCCACTGCTGAACCATTCCTTTTATCATCACACATTTCGGTTTCCACTGAATAGTCAGTAGTAAATTGACCGTTACTTGCTCAATAGACATCCAATTAATGAAAGGTTTGAATCATTAGAAACTGGACAGAGAGGGATTTAAATTGACATATTATACGCTTAATTTGGATAAGTGTAGCCCCACTATTGAACCATTTCTTTTATCATCACACAAATTTTGGTTTCCCCTGTTTCTCGATTTCTATTGAATAGTCAGTAGTAAGTTAGTCATAACTTGCTCAATAAAAATTTAATTGATGAGCAGTTTGAATATTTGAAAACTAGATAGAAAGAGCTTTAATTTGATATATTAATGCTTAATTTGGATAACTGTAGCCCCACTGCTGAAGCATTCCTTTTATTATCACACATATTTTGGTTTCCACTAAACAGTTAGTAGTAAATTGACCGTAACATGCTCAATAAAAATTCAATTGGTAAGAGGTTTAAATTTTTAGAAACTATACAGATAGGGATTTAATTTGATATATTATACGCTTAATTTGGATAATCGTAGCCCCACTTCCGAACCATTCCTTTTATCATCGCATATTTTGGTTTCCACTAAACAATTAGTAGTAAATTGACCGTAACTTGCTCAATAAAACTCTAATTGATGAGAGATTTGAATATTAAGAAACTAGACAAATAGGGCTTTAATTTGATATATTATATGCTTAATTTGGATAAATGTAGCCCCACTTCTGAACCATTCCTTTTATCATCACACATATTTCAGTTTCCTCTGTTTCTTGATTTCCACTAAACAATCAGTAGTAAATTGGCCATAACTTACTCAATAAAAATCTAATTGATGAGCAGTTTAAATCTTTGGAAACTAGAAAGATAGAGCTTTAATTTGATATGTTATACAATATATTTGGATAACTATAGCCCTATTACCAAACCATTTATTTTATCATCACTAGAGCTGGGCCTTTGGGACCGGGCCCAAAAGCCCAGCTCTAAAACCCGGTCCTAGGACCGGTCCTTGAGAGGACCGGACCTAGGAGGCATGGTCCCAAAGTGGGACCAGGCCTAAGGATGAGGGCCCGGGCCCTCCTCCAAGGTCCTAGCCTGGGCCCAAAAAAATTTGTATTTTTTCAATATAGTCTCCTGCTAAATTACATAAAACCCCCTGTTAATTTTAAAATAAATATAAATTACGAGGGCTAAAAAAAATTTTACAAAATTTATAAAAAAAAAAAATCTTCCAGGTCTAAAAAATTTATAAATTTTATAAATTTTACCCCTAAAAAATACTAAAAACCCCCTCTAAAATTTTGTTTTACCCCTAAAATATAAAAAAAATTAAGAGGGGAAAATAAAATTATCCAAGAACCATGGGACCGGTCTTGGGCCCATGGGACCAGTCCCGACTAGGCCTAGAGTCTGGTCCGGGTCTTGGTTTTTCTCATGGGCCTGGGACCGGTCCTAGGCCCATGAGTGATTGGTCCCATTTGGGACCAGTCCCAAACGAGCCTAGGCCTAGGCCCGCAAGGGACCGGTCCCTGCCCACCTCTAATCATCACACACATAAAACTAATTCAATTTTAGTGATGACAAAGGAAAACAAATATTGATATGTAGTTTTAATTATATTTGTTCTATCTCTTTTTGTTGATTTTTTTTTTTTTTAATGTTACATACATATATCGAAAACAGGTTGTTGCTGAATATAACCAATTTTATTTGTATCACAAATATCATCTGATATTTGTTGCCGAACCATGTAGCTTTAGTAAACCATTTGTAATATGTCGAACCATGATTATTATCCTTAAAGGAAAACAAATATTATTATGTAGTTTTAATTATAATTGTTCTATATCTTTTTGTTGATACATTTTTGTGTTACATACTTATATCATGAAAGGAGGTTGTTACTGAATATAACTAATTTTATTTATTTAACAAATATCAACTGATGTTTGATGCTGAACCATGTAGCTTTAGTAAACTATTCATTTTATCGTCACACACAATTGGGTTTCTATGAACAATCAATAATAAATTGCCTATAACTTGCTCAATAAAACTTCAATTGCTGAGAGGTTTGAATCATTAGAAGACATACTCAACACATTATTAATCAGATATGTTAGCAGATTATGTGACTATTAAACCAATTCGAATTTTAGTTTATTTAAAATTTGAATTGGTTAATAATATTGAGCAAGTTATGGTCAATTTACTACTGATTGGTTTAACTGTTATTTACTTGCTATTTATTACACTAATTATTTGATATATTGTACGCCTAATTTGAATAATTGTAGCCCCACTACCAAACTATTCCTTTTATCATCACACACATTTCGGTTTCCCCTGTTTCTTAATTTCCACTAAACAGTCAGTAGTAAATTAGCCATAACTTACTTAATCAAAATCCAATTAATGAGCGGTTTGAATCTTTAGAAACAAGAAAGATAGGGATTTAATTTGATATATTATCACTTAATTTGGATAACTATAGCATCACTGCCGAACCATTCATTTTATCATCACACACATTTAGGTTTTCACTGCACAATCAATAGTAAATTGACCATAATTTGCTTAATAAAACTCCAATTGAGGAGAGGTTTGAGCCTTTAGAACCTAGACAGACAAGGCTTTAATTTAGTATATTATATGCTTAATTTGGATAATTGTAGCCCTATTGACAAACCATTCCTTTTATCATCATGTTTTTCAGTTTCAACTAAATAGTCAGTAGTAAATTGACCATAACTTGCTCAATAAAACTCCGATTTATGAGAAGTTTAAATATTTAGAAACTAGATAGATAGGGCTTTAATATGATATATTATATGCTTAATTTGGATAAATGTAGCCCCACTTCTGAACCATTTATTTTATCATCACACATATTGTAGTTTCCCCTATTTCTCAATTTTCACTGAACAGTCAGTAGTAAATTGGCCACAAATTACTTAATAAACATCCAATTGATGAGTCGTTTGAATCTTTGAAAACTAGAAACATAGAGCTTTAATTTGATATATTATACGATAAATTTGGATAACTATAGACCTATGGTCGAACCATTCATTTATTATCACATACATAAAACCAATTCAATTTTAGTGATGACAAAAGAAAACAAATATTGATATGTAGTTTTAATTATATTTGTTCTATCTTTTTTTGTTGATATTTTTTTTATGTTATATACGTATATCAAAAACAGGTTGTTGCTAAATATAACCAATTTTATTGGTATCAAAAATATTATCTAATTTTTGTTGCCGAACCATGTAGCTTTAGTAAGCCATTTGTAATATGTCAAACCATGATTAATATCCTTAAAGGAAAACAAATGTTAATATATAGTTTTAATTGTAATTTTCTATCTGTTTT